GTATATCTTGTCTGCGTGAAACATGGAGACTTGTAGGTATACTCAGGGCTAGTGTGGCAACCTAAAGGAATTCGTCAAACTCTGTGAGAGATTAGGTTATCCGCAGACCGGTGAAACCGATATGACATTTACGAGACTCGGGAATCTATGCATAGTAAAGGAGTGATAAGATGGCCCGCTCTTTAGAGTCCGTAAATGAAGATTCCCTGTTTCGGCAAAAGCTAACCCTAGACCGCATGAGTTGATACGTTTTCCTTGACCTAGGTCAATGGGATGGATAACCGAAATGAAAGGACAATTCACACAGTAACCAAATAGGTATAACAGGTTAATCATTCGATGAACTCAACTAGCTCTGGGACAACAAAGCATTGCTAGTGCTCTGTGTTGTCATTAGATGGATTAGGCCTAACGGGCCCAAGCCCATTTATGTCAGTGGCTATGTTGGGCCTGATGGGTCGCGCACAAACACCTTAAGTTGTCTTGAATTCTAGCATATGTGTTTTGGGCCCAATAAGGCATAATGCGCCTAAGTTGGAAAAGCCCACATATTGGGCCAAGAGAGAGTAGGTGGCATCATGGGTCAAGTTGAACTTGATCCATGATGTAACCTAATTAATTTAAATATTAAATTAATAAAATTAATTTGAATTCTAATTTCGAATTTCAAATTTGAAATTTGAAATTTGAAATTTGAATTTAAATAAAATTAATTTAAATTCTAATTTTGAATTTCGAATCTGAAATTGGAATTTAAATATAGTCATTAAATTAGATTTATTGAGGTTGGAAAAAATAAAGGAAACCAATCAATTAGATTGATTGGAAACAAATCAATTGGATTGATTGCCCAAAATTAAGAAAACCAATTAATTTGGCTGAAATTGGGGAACAAGTCAATTGGATTGATTGACCAAAATTAAAGGAAATCAATTAATTAAATTAATTGGCTGAAATTAGAGAAACAAATCAATTGGATTGATTGACCAAAAGTAAAGGAACCAATTAATTAGATTAATTGGCTGAAATTTGGGAAACCAATCAATTGAATTGATTGGGTAAAATTAAGGAAACCAATTAATTAAATTAATTGGCTGAAATTGGAAAAACCAATCAATCGGATTGATTGGATAAAATTAAGGAAATTACCCAATAAGATTGAGATTTGATGAGGGCGCTGATTTGATCTAGTTTTAGGTTAATGAGTCGCCACATCTATAAATACTAAATAGCCCCTCTTCTTCCTTAGTTTTGTATCTCTTCTTCTTCTCTAATTTTCTTCACTAAAACCTTAGCCAACACACATCAGTGTGATGGCTATCTCTCTCTTGGAATAACCAAAGGCACTACCTAATCTCTGTTCTTCTCTTGAGTCTAGTAACCTCCATTGAAGGAGATTGGACATTCGAAGAAGTGTTCTTCTCTTACAAGACAACAAGGTGGTGTGGATTTCCATCGGAGGACTTGTGTTCTTCAAGTCTGAAAAATTGATCAAGAACGCATTTGATCAGGAATAATAATCCAAATAAAGGTATCTACTTTAAACCCTAACATGTCTATTGCATGATTCATGAGTTAAACATGATTGAGGGTGGGAAAAGGTTGATTCTTCCGCATAAAAATTTTAATTTTTCCTTCTTTTATGTTCATGGCCTACAAAAGGCTTCTTACAACCATTTTTTTAATATTTTTTAATACAATATTAGCACTTAGGTTTGAGTCTATTTTTTCATATAAATTACTTAATCAGTCCCTCATCACCAGTGGTTTTGAGATAAAGTTTCTATTAATCACACTCTGTCTTTTTAACAGTTAATGATCTCATGCATAGTTATTGGAATATAATTAGAAAAGTATCCCTTAACAACTAAAGTTAACTTTTTTCCACTAGGGCTAGCCTAGTGGTGTGGGTGTGTGTAATAGGGTGTGTGTTAGTGTGTGGTAGTGTGTTCGATTCCCTGTAATTCCCAAAAAAATTAACTTTTTTCCTTTTATTTTAATTAAATTCCCAAAATTCATCATATGTATAATAAGCTGAGTATCAAGGGGCAGTATATATAGTGTTAGACGATGTATTCTCCTTGCTTAAACAATTACAATTGTTAAAATGACATTATACAATAATGCGTTTCGGTTCTGTGATAAATTTACAATTTCTCGTGTCTTTTTGAATGTAAAATTTATTATCTTATATATCTATGTATATATAGAGACAATTACAGCTAGAGAAAGAAAACGACAGTGACTTGTTACGAAATTGTTCACAAGCCCCAAACATGACTTTGATAGTAATTGAACATTGGCATCTCTCACTTTGCGTATGTATCTAAGTTTCATAGCACTTGAAAAATGTATTAACAATGATGATGATGTCTTCGATGAATCTGTATTTGCATGCAGTTTCTTCTATGGTATGCATATTTTTGAAAGTGACATTAATTTTACTAATCTTTTTTGTGAAAAGGGAAATTCGGGAATAGAGTTTCGAAATAGTGCTAAAAATGAAACGTTTTTAAGGAGCTTCTACAAAAAGTATTTAATTAGAAGTGAAATGAAAATATTAATTTAAGAAAGCAAAGAATTGGTTAATGTTTCATATTTTATTATGTTTGTCTATTTGGATAATAATATTTTCACATTACTCTATTTTATAAATAAAATTTGAATCATACATATATTTTAGAAATTATCAACATAAAATATTAAGTTAATAATAAAATAAGCGTATTGAATAGTAAATTAATTACCACTTTTAAAAAGTTTGGTTCCTTAGATTTTTTGTGTTACACTTACAATTCTCAAGCATAATAATCAGGCGGACCGAGGGACCTAAATTTCAATTTTTTATTATTTTATATATAAAATAATATTCTTTAATAATAATAATTAATCCTCCCTACTAAAAATAAAATAAAATAATTAATCCTTCCATCAAAAATATTTATAATAGTTAATATAGTTTTAGTAATGTTTAAAATTTTATTTTATCCATTATTATAAAAAATTTAGGATCCGCCACTGATAATAATGTATGTATAGTTTTTTTTTTTAAAATAATGCACCCATAATATAATATTAATATTACGGTTAAATTTATTACCAAAAAATTTGACAATTTTCATACGTCCTTTCAAGTTCATAGACTTTACACCTAACATGAAACATTTATTATCAAATATCTAATCTTTTCTGATATAGGGCCACATATTTTTATAAACGAAAATATGACATGTTTTTTTATTTTGGCCCAAATTCAAGTTTAACAATTTTATTTTATTTTTTTTACATATGGCACATGGAGACAATTAATTTATCTTTTCCAAGGGCCGGAGATAAATTTTTTTTTTTTGGCAGTGAAAAATATTCAAACATTAGTCAGACAGTATGTGATGGACTATATAAGGTCCTGTTTACCTAAATTTGGTATACCAAATTAAACAGGACCATATGGGGTTCATAAAACCTTCAAAAGTTCAAATAAATTACTGTTTCATTCTTCAATGATTTGGATTGCTTTACTGAAGCATTGATGGCTGTGTTTTTTGAGATGCGTAACGAGATTCATAAGAGGGGATACATTGTATAGCCTCTTAAAGCCAAATAAATAATAATATATATGAATAGTTTTGGCCATTCAATCATCTTAATTATAATTATATACAGATTTCGACACTTCTACACAAATCAAGCTTAATTTTATGTTTTGTGGTTGCCTAAGAATTTTGAAATTAGCACTTCCTAAAACATGTATGCACAGTAAAAAAAAAAAAATTTGTTGTCATTTTAAGGAAAATTTTGTGAAGGGCATGTAATGGTATGGTGTCTCATTGTTGTGAAGAGACACCAGACATATAGATAAGTGCCATGTTAAAACATTCTTTCCTTATGGAAAAAAAACGGGAGAGTCAGATTGAATGGCTCGAAACGTTTCTCCGAGAAATGCGGCTACTTGCCGCCTCTTTTGTTTCTTGTCAATATATCTTATGGAAATGAAATGACAATTCTGCAATCTTTTAACTTTTATTATTTTTATATAACTTTTATAATATATTATTATATGACAAATTTTTTTTGTTTTAAAATTCTTATAAAATATACTATGTATTTTTTGGAGTACATCTCCAAATGAATGTACTTCCGAGATAATATATTTTATAAAAATTTATAAATAAAAATTTTATAAATATAACTTAGGACCAGGTTATATTTACAAACTTTTTTGTTTACAAATTCTTACAAAATGTACTAAGTACGACCGGTCATACTTTAATCATGTAATGTACGACAGGTCGTACTAAGTGTAATTTACAAAAAAAGTTCGTAAACAGAACCTATGCCTATAACCTATCTCTATGACTATTAGTATGGTAATTTAAATTTAAGTTTCTCCTATTTGTACTCTAATTATGTGACCTTATACACATATGCAAGGTGACATGTTTGATGCTAATAGCATTATTCCTTTCATTAATTAAATAATAAGAAATTATTAACAAAAAAACAGTGGCACAATTTGGACCCTTAGATGGTGTTTGATAAATCTGGCAGCTCAACACTTGTGTGGTATTTTACTGTTTCGTACCATTTTTTTGTTATTTAAAATTGCCTCTCTCTCTCTTGATGTTGCGTATGGAATGGAGCTGTTTGTGTGAAAAGTCAGCGTCTCTCTCTCTCTCTTTCTATAAACCCATTCTCTTTTGTTTGTTATTGATAGAGAGGAACAATCAGTTTCAACCTCCAAAAACCTGTTCCTTAATTTGCTTTTTCTTGCTTCTTAACAGCCAAAAAAAAAACCCATCTCCTTAATCAACCTCTTCCTAGAATTGCATGTTTTTTTTCACGTCTAGTTGTTAATTGTGTTGCAAATTATTAGAGAGGTTTGAAATTCCAAGCAATATATATCTATCTATATATCTTCTATGCTCCAAAACATGACACAACCTTACTTGAAACTTTTGTTCAACTAAGGGAAAAGCATGTGCAGCATCTTTAGCCAAATCATGGACAATTACCAAGGTGATTTAACTGATATATTTCGTGCTAGTGGTGGAGCATATGGTGGCAGTAGCAGCACAGGAACTTCATCATCTGAACCTTCTTCTTCATCATCAGCACCTCATCATAATGATCATTGGCATCACTTTTCTTCTGATCCAATGAATTTCTCTTCTGTTCTTGAAGACCCCATAAGAGGAGGCTACTTTGGTGATCCATTTTCAACTATGAGAGATCCCTTTCTGCAAGAGCTTGATATGCCTATAGCAGCAGGTTCTTCTGCATACTTCAACACCACATCATCATCATCATCAACAACAATAACAACAACAACTCGTGCTGAAATCATCACTACTAGTTCTTCTAGGGGTTTGGAAGATGCAGCAGCATCAGCTTCTGGTTTTGGTGCCAATACTAATAGTAATAATAGCTCTTCTGTTTTTACACACAAGATTCTTGAAGATGACATGAGAATTAGACCAACTACTGTGCCTTGTAGAAACATATTCTCAAGCATGATTCAGATCTCTCCCAATGCAAAGTTACCCCTCTCCCCGTTTGATTCGCCGGCGGCGGCGGTGGTAGCAGCTTCTCCGAGGACAATTAAGCCTTCTTCTGCAGTGGTTTCAGCCAACATGAATATTAATGCAAACACCTCCAAGGATTGCCTTGTTGACACCACTTCAGTACAGATCTCATCTCCACGAAATCCGGGTCTTAAGAGAAGGTTAGATAATTATATTATTATTACTACTTACTCAATTAATTAATAATATATATAAATGGAGAGAATCAAATTTTGAGATTAATTTCATGATGGCATCATAAATTTGGTAAGAGAAAATGAATCACAAAACATTTTTCTTTTTCTTTTTGAATTGAAATTTTATGTAACTACTATATGGTGATTTGTGTTGACTGCAGACAAAGTAGGGTTTGGCATGAGTTAGGTACTTATTTTCTTTTTCTTGTGCTTTCCAAATCTGTTCCTTTGACTGCGTGTGGCCCTGTTAATTAATTCTGAGGAGAAAAAGTTCATTAATTGTGAAGACTAAACATGGTTTCAATGAGGCTTTTCATAGGCTTTAATCCACCTGAAAAGTAGAGTTAGCTGGGCGTCATTCAATAACAGTCATAGACTTAGCTTTCAAGCTGTTTATCTTATAAACACTGGAAAAGTTCCTATTCCTTTTATCATCATATACTGAAACCATGTACTATATAGTCAGTTCTTTAGATGATGGCACCAAACATCCACTATTTCAATGGAAAAACCAATTCAAACAAATTATTAAACAGTATATGTTCTACTTCTCTTTATCATATTCTTAAATATTTATTACTTATATAGTAATTGATAGTGTTAAGAGTTTGTGTAAATTGCAGGAAGAACCAGGCCAAAAAAGTGGTGTGTATTCCTGCACCAGCAGCTGCAAATAGCAGACAAACAGGAGAGGTAGTTCCTTCAGATTTGTGGGCTTGGAGAAAATATGGTCAGAAACCCATTAAAGGTTCACCTTATCCCAGGTAAGTTAATTAGTTTAGCCTTATGCACCGTTATTCTCGATAAGATAAAGATATTTTAGGAATAAAAACTGGGGGCAAAAATTACAAAAAAAATTGCAACTTACTTACCTAAAATCAATTTCTTGTAGTTTACTACTGTGTTTCTTCAATATTCATTTCTTGACCGTTGAATATTGATATATTAGTCACACTTTGAGGTTCAAAAAACAACTTAATTAGACTAATAGTTTTCCCAATTCATAAGGCTTTTTTATCATTAGTCATTTTTTATTAGAAGAAAATTCACTTGAACGTTGTGTTATATATAATAGTGGTTTCTTATGATCCTTCTATTTTTCTGTCATCAGGGGCTATTATAGATGCAGTAGCTCAAAGGGCTGTTCTGCAAGGAAGCAAGTCGAGAGAAGCAGAACAGACCCAAACATGTTGGTTATTACTTACACTTCAGAGCACAACCATCCATGGCCAACTCAAAGAAATGCTCTTGCTGGTTCAACACGATCCCAGCCATCAAAGACAAGTGGTAGTTCTTCAAAGAATTCAGAAACCTCTCATCCTCAAAAGGGAACAACAAAGACAAAGGAAGAGCAGCAAGAGAGTAATAGTGATGGCAATTTGTCCCCAGTTGTTGGTGGGAACTCAGGAAACAGTGTAAAAGAAGAGATGGAAGAGATAGAGAAGCAGCTTGTTGAGAATATGGATGATGGAGAATTCAGTGATGGAATCCCTTACAAGCCATCTATGATGGAGAGTAGTAACCAATTACAATCTGAGGATTTCTTTGCAGAATTGGGAGAAATAGAAGCTGACCCATTAAACCTATTGTTTACTCAAGGCTTTAATGCAAATGATCATGATCAGAGAGAATCCAAGGCCTTGGATCCATTCCATCTATTTGATTGGTCAGAAGAACCTAATAATAACAAGAGAAGGTTATAACAAGGGCATGCAGCACCTCCCTCACAAAAGACCCTTAATCATCCTCTTTAAAATTTTATTTGGTGGTGCAATATTATTCAAGGTCATGTTATGCATTTTTCTATGTGGGGGAGATTTGAGAGATTTCTGCTTTTTTCAACTTACTACCTTTTTTTGATTTTTTTCTTGTTATTTACCAGAACAGTCAGAGGGAGATAAATTAGTGGAGTGAAAAAAGAAAAGAGTGCTGGTTGGTTGGTTGATTGGAAGCAAAGCCAACGAGTCCCACATTCCTTTTGGAATATTGGTGGATGGGACAGAAAGCTGAGGAACAGAAGGTTTCAACAGTTGAAAACAAGTACATTTCACTATTAAGACATGACTCGAGAGCTCAGTGAGTAGATTGATGATGATAAAAAAAAAGGATGGGACTAGCCATTTTCATCTTTATCAAGTGGGAAAAATTATTTAAAGCCTCCTCACCCTTTGTCATGTGGGGTTATTCTAAAAAAGTGAAAAAGAAGAAGAGAAGAATGGGGTTCCTAGATTTGCTTGCTGAGATGAAATTTATGAGAGAAGACAAAACAATATATGGGGTGGTGGTGGGTTAAGATTAATATTATATTATATAGTATAATATAAAGCTTGACTTTTCATATCAGTCATCTCTAGGGACGTGTGACATGAGGGGGAAATGCATGCTTTGGTTCCTCGGCTTTCTGTTTATATTTTTTTATTATCCACCGACTCGGGTTCGTTGTTTTGAATGAGAATACTTTGTATGTTTCTTACACTAGTTATTATTACATTTTTATTCTATTGTTTTTTTGTCACAAAGAAAATCATTATATTGGGTCTTATCTGTTAGTATCTATCGGTAGTTTTTGTTTAGATATATAACAAAATCCAGCAAAACGACGTTGGCATTTAATCATTTCGCATGTGCATGCTCGCCTATCTGTGCATGTATATCTTTCTATAATTATAGATTCCTCGATTCGTTTAAATATAATAATAATTTTGGAAAACGCAGACATATATATATATATATATATATATATATATATATATATATATATATGACTATAATTACTTAAAAAGCCTTGGCTCGTTGAGGGTTAGACCAAGGTTGTAAAATGTTAGTAGAGATAACCTAGTAAATTAATAATATATTTTGTAACAGCTAAGAACCTAGCTGAGCTATAATGTTTAATCTTCCTTAATTTTATGCTTCTTTGTTTATATTTTATGAATATATTTTATTGTAAGTAGAAGAGTTTAACTTTGTCTGAGCACACAGTATCTTTGAATTTGTTCTTGGTCACAGAAAACTCCACAACTTATGAAGACCCAATAGTATATTTGACATCTGTAAATTGTACTTGTTCCTTTACCCTTTTCTTAGTTCTTCCCTTTTGAGCTAAATAATAATTGTGATGCAATGCTATTTTCTGCCGCTAATTAAAGTTGTGCAATGCGCTATACATATAAGTAGTTCGAAGATATTATTTTAGCACGTATTAGGAAGGTAAGGACTCGATATATTTTGTTTTAGCTGAAAATAATCAAAGAAAACAATCGAACAAATTATAAAAAGTAAATTGAGATTATATGTTAGTTAACGGTTTGGTTATACATCTAGAAATAACTAATCACGGTTTGATTAACATTATTTATTGTATGATTAACATTTATATATATGTTATTTGTCCATTAACCATACGTTCAATTCACGATGTTAATTTAAAAAAAATATGTCGTGAATTGTTGTGTAGTAGAGTTAGGTTATATTTCATCCCTTATATCACTATATGGGGTACTCAAGGAGGTATAGTTGTATGATCAAAGCTTTTGGGGAGTCACCTGAGATGTGTTATCTCAAGTATTATTGAGAGATCAGAGGCGAATGTGTAAGGAGTGTCTCTAAATTTTGTTGAAATTAATTTTTTAAATTAATTATTTTTATGAATAAGAAGTTTGATTTGAAAAGATGTGTTGTTTCATCGCTGAACTAATGTTGCTTCATCCATGAATGGATGGCTTTTCAATCATGACATAGGTTTTCTATAAATAGATAGACAATAAGAGTTTTAAGAATAGTTGTTCTATTGTTTTTGTTCATGCATTTGCATTCTTCCACTCTAGTATTATTGGTCAGACATAGGTTGAGTTCGATGGAGTTATTTAATATAGAAGTGTCACCACAAGAATAAAGGTAATTCATTCTATCATGGGAGACATTTGTCTACGAATCTTGGGCATCATATAGAGGAAAATATTGTCTTAAGGATATAATGTCTAACACTGAGCTCGAATTTTTTCCTTGTTGCATTTATATATTTCATACGTGTTGGTCCCAGATGAACTCAAGAGGGGGTGAATTGAGTTTATAAAAATAATTCGCTAATTAAAAATTAACTCAAAGCAATAAATCAAGATAAGGGTAGAGAGATATTAACACAATAGTTTTTACGTGAAAAACCCAAAAGGGAAGAAAAACCACGGGCCCTAAAATCGAATACAGAAATTCGACAGGCAACTCCACTATGAAATTTGTGTACAAAGAGTTCTCTAGTATCCTAGTTTCCTAGTCTACCCCTTACACAAATCCCCAAACTGGTATCCTAGTTTCCCAGTACGAAACCCTAACCCTTTAGGATTCCGAAACCCTATCACACAAGGGTTCTCAACTTACTCTCAATTTCCAAGAAAAAGAGACATGCTGGTATCCCAGTTTCCCAGCACAAGAACTGGTATCCAAGTTTCCCAGTACAGACCTTCAAAAAGATCAAGAAGAAATTAACAATTAAATGACTTACCTCAGTGCTTCTTTTCCTCAAGCATATAGATAATCTGAATTCCTATGGAGAAATATTCACTTTGCCAAAGGATGAATGTATGAATGAATGTTCTTGAGAAAACTCTTCAATTGATGCACAAGAAAGAATCCTAATCTTGAAAAACTAACTCTCTCTTTTCTTTCTTGTATATTCTTCTCTCTTTTCTCTCTTGTACTTTTTCCTCTCTTCTCTCTCTTGTTTTTTCTCCACACAGAAATAATATGCAATGAGCCCTATTTATAATAATAACACATTAATCTATTATCCAATGCAATCCTAATCAAATCTTTGGCAAAGAATATTTTATTTCTCTTACATGAAATCTAAAAAGATAAAATCTTTCATAATCTATACTTGATTCCATGCTTTTATATATCTTCATGATATCTTCCATATCTTCTCCAATCTTTATGCAATCTTCAATTATCTTGAATATTGATTCCATGATATCTTCCATATCTTCTCCAATCTTCATGCAATCTTCAATTATCTTGAATACTATTTCAAATCAGAATAAATATTATTCTGAAATCTCAAACAATCAGCGAATTAGTAATTTCAAGACAATAAAATATTATCAATTAAATTAACATTAAATTGATTGTAATCATCAAAACATATTTTAAATCAATTAAACAATTGGGGTATAACAAATATCCAACAATACGGTACGCTTTAACTTTGTGTTATTGCATGTTACAATTTCTTGCAGATATTTCATGAAACTGTGAATATGGTTGAAGTGATTTATCTAACGCAGGTTATCCCCTCTCAATAATTTTAATATCATTTTAGATAATAGATTTCTATAACAACTCGTAAAATATATGGATGCAAAAAAGGTGGACAAGATGAGTATACATAGATGAGAAATATTATCTAATTGTACGGAGAGAGTGAGTCTAATCATTTTACCCACTACCCTCACTGTTGTGTGTGAGGGAAATGCATCCGTGTCACATGCAATGGATGAGCTGTGCAGAGAGCGAGGGCTCTTCTAAGATGAAACTTATGTGCTCACTACGAGGAGACGAAGAAATAACTCCTTTATAATTTTTTGCAGGCGCCGGTCTTTAATTACTAAACCATACAATAGTCTTTGTTAGTCAAAACTTGAGTCATCGATAACATTTTGCTACTGACTGTTCATGCAATATATATACACATATTATACTTGAATAAACTGGTCATGCGCATGTTAATGTCAAATGCCATATTATACTTAACAACCGATATGTGTCGACCTTTGGTTGATGCTGCTCTTGTATCTAAAATGTGACATTTTAGCTTCAACACCTTAACGCCACATATCTCCTTCATAATGGAGACAACTTTTATTTTGTTGAAGCCAAGTTATTGGCTTTAGTCTTGTCAAATCCATTCTCACCTCCTTACAAATGAAGTCACCTCAATGGGCAGAGAAAACTACAGTCTGTTTATTGCTTTTGCCCATAGGGGTTTTTTCAATCTCCTAGTTGATGGACGGGTAATAATAAGAGGCATTATGAATTTGAAGGAATAAGGATGCAACTTATCTTGTGGGAGTAACTGTAGTTCATGATTTTGAAGAAAGAAATGGGAGTCATCAATTGATGACATACATAAAGCTTCATGATTCTAAGCTCTTTTTTTGACATGTTTGGTCATAAATATTCCTTTTAGCTTTTTGATGGTTGAGTTAACTTTCTTTTCTATATCAATATCCAATTATGATCATTTGCATATGAAACATCACATTGTTTAAATTGGTCAAATATTCGTAAGAAACAGAAAATTAATTTCGTCAAATATGAATCATAATTGTGCTTACATCATTGATAAGATCAGCTAATGTTCATTATTGGCTTTGGTTAAATCTTTCTCGACCTGAAATATTCCTTGATAAATATTTTAATAAAAATTCGGTAAATATTATAATTTATTCTGCAAAGATGTTTCGGCTTATAAACAAGTATAACAATTACTCATAGATATTGAATGAATAAAAAAACAAAGTATGGAGTGTATTATTTTATCTGTGTCATGTAAGCTGTTTTCGCAGTTATTACATTCATATATATGATAATTCAAAGCTCTTTTGATTTTAATGTCAAATTCCACTTGAATAATTGTTTGAGTACCCCTTATTTTTGTGTGGACAAGTTATATTTCCCGTCACTAGCTACCACTAACCATGTATAA